ATTTTCCGCCCCTCCACGTGGCGAGGGGTGCGGGGAGGTCAGGGCCCCGTCGGGGTGGGATGGGCACCCTCGGGGCCTGAGCGCCCGTGTCGTTCCCAGGCGCCTTCCCCGGGGCCCCGGAGGTGGCGAGGGGCTGAAAGGCAGCAGGGGATGTGTCAGCCGAAAGGGCAGGGGTGGCCTCCGCCTGGGGAGTTACCTCGCTGGGGAGGGCTGCCAAACGGCTTCGGCCTGCTGGTTGTTACTGATGGGCGCAAGGAGCGGGGCATGAGAAACAGGACTGCGGCCTCGGGGAGCTTAAAATAACACGTAGGCAGCTTGATACCCTCGTGGTGTGTGAAACAAAGTATGAGTGTGAAGCTCTTCCACACTGACTTAGAAAGCTGGGTTCTAGGACGTTAGTCTGTCCTAATATCTGTTCTGTATTCCTCTCTTGGTTGCACAGGATAATGTGGAGAGGGCAGATGCACTCCAGTTAACGGTGGAGGAATTTGTTGAGCGTTACGAAAAACCTTACAAGCCTGTAGTCTTGCTGAATGCTCAGGTGGGCTGGTCTGCCCAAGAGAAGTGGACTCTGGAACGACTGAAACGCAAGTATAGGAACCAGAAGTTCAAATGTGGGGAGGACAATGACGGTTATTCTGTGAAGATGAAGATGAAATACTACATAGAGTATATGGAAACCACACGTGATGACAGCCCGCTCTACATCTTTGACAGCAGTTATGGAGAGCACCCCAAGCGCAGGAAACTCCTGGAGGACTACAAAGTACCCAAATTCTTCACTGATGATCTGTTTCAGTATGCAGGGGAGAAACGAAGGCCACCTTACAGGTACAGTACAGTGACAGCAAGATAAAAGTAGGTATTTTCCATCTCATTAGCTACTCCTAAATAGGTCTGATTGTTTTGTACAAAACAAAGTGATAGCTTTACATCTGCTGTTTTGAAATGAGCATACATCTGTAACCCAGGAGGAGGGAAGGGCAGATTTGTGTATCACAATTTCTGGTTCTGCCACCAGTGTTGCTACAAGTTTATGGCTTTTCTTTTTTTTAAGTCAGTTTACCTCACTACTTAGATTAAAAAAAATTACATAATTACTGAAAGTTATGAAGATTAATTTTGTGCTATGTGTGCCTTCTGGCTTTCAAATTTTAAATACCTCAGGACTAGCTCCTGGGTTTTGCACCAGTGGCTTATGTACATAGTGGGATTTTGTTTAATTACGAGTCAGTCCTTTTAAGGTAAAGTTCTTAAGCTAGATTAGTATGAAGTGTGGAGACTAGCTCTTAGCTCCCTTTCAGATGATTTTAAGAGGGAACAATATTTAACATCTGTGTAGTCTTTTCAACTGTTGTTTTGCATCTGATTGAAAAAGGATTGAAATGACACTTCATTCCTGAAATCAAATGCAACAACCTTGTATTTGGGCTGTTAGATACAAAAGGAATTTCTATCTATGTTAATATAACGCATCATAGCAGTATGAGCATAAGCTGAACACTCCCAAATAATTAAAGTCTTTACAGCCACATTATAATTGCTAGAGAATGCCTTGCCCTTTGAGTGACATGAGGCTGTGATGTGGATCTTTAATTGTTTCATTTTTTTAAAATAAAGTAGAACAAGGAATGAACAATGGTACTCTTCTCTTCTCTTTACAATCTTTCACGTGTCTGTAGTCCAGTTGTGCTTTTGCAGGAGTGAAGCATGAAGCCAGTTCTATTCAAGATCACTGAAGTAGCTGTTTTTACAGTGTTGTAACAGACCCTTTTTATAATTCACTTCTAAGAAGAACATACAATGCTGTGATCAAATGCAAAAGCACACCAGGTGTAGTCTCTATTAGAAACTGAATACACTTACAGAACTAGGAATCATTTATCCAAGTTATAGGTAAACTAGATAATCTGGTTGTGACTCAATTACATAGATATCTCTTTCTCCCACACCCTCTCCACCTACAGGCGCATGCTGAGCTCCTTGCTTGTGATCTTGGTGTTCACAATCCTTGTACTTTGTTCTGGAAAATGTGGGTTTGTTTGAGGCTGTTACCATTTTTTGAGAGATGAGTGATGCAAGAGAGCACACTGATGCCTCCTGGAGTTAGGGGTTTCATCTAGGTACAGAAATGGATGAAGAGTATCCAGTAGTTCAGGAGCATAATTGAAAATCCAACAGGAAGTGGTGCTTTCTAATCGTATGATCAGGACAGGCACTGTACAGATTGATCTCTGGATTGAGAGGTGTGTGATAGTGTATAGATCTTAAAGTAAGAACTCGTGCTGTTTAGAGCACCTTTATTGGAGTTGTTCCTCTTTAAAATAAAGGCAGTAATTTTTGGAAGCCATTTACTGAAGCAGCTATTTTAGTTTGGGGAGGGTGGGATGTGGGTTTTTTGCTTTTAAATTGAAGTTACAGGATGTGAAGTTTAATGGTAAATTTGATGTCTTGTGGCAAACTGGGTTATGTTCATTGTAAATTAAATGCCTGGAGGAAGATGCTGGTAAATGATAGTGTTGCTAAATAAGGATTTTTAAATCTTCCGCATGCGTAGATTCAGGATACAGCAGAAAACTGGCACTGAACAGTGCATCTGTCTGTGTACCAGACAGATCTTTATGTGTTTAATTTCTTCTGACTTCTTAGTAAAAGCTTTGACTGTTCTGCTTGTGGTTTAGTTAGCTTTCCAAGGCTAGTATGAATCTAAAGACTGAATTGACAGAAGAAGTGACAAACACCTGCCTATTTATGTTTTTTTTATTGCTCCTTTGTGAAGTAGGAAGAGCACAGCTTGATAACCAAACTTGCAGTCCTACAATTGGTGCTAACAAGTGATACTTGGAAGCCAGCTTAATTTACACCTGCATTGGAAAGGGGAGATGGAGAGCTTGCTGACTTCTGATATTTTCTGAACCTTTGAACTCCTCCTGCTGGGTATTGCCTGCCTGTCAGCCACGCAATGGAGGGGTCTTGCTGGTGCTTTAGTTTCTACCCTCTCTGCTGCCCAGTAAACAATTGCTGCCATTTTTTTTCCTCTTGACACCTGATATTAAGTCACCTCCCTTACACTGCTTTATCTGGTATGGTAGATCTTACTGTTCTTTTACAGGGGAAATGAGCAATTGAAGGTGATGTTGCTGTTAAACATGTGTAGCACATAAAGTTCTCCATAGGGAGAAATAAACCTTGCAAATGGGGAATGAGAATATGCACACCAAATCCTGAACAGTCACTGGAGATTAAGCACCAACTAGTTAAATGTTAGAATGAAAAGCCTGTTGTAAATGAACAGAGGGCATAGAGGGAGGCCAGGGTTGCATAACTTTGCTCTGTTCCTTACATATATTGCCTTTTGTTTGTTCCTCATTGTTCCACAGTTCTGGATCCGTTTCAGTAGTGAATTTTAGAAAAACATAGGATTAGGAGAGTTCCCCTGCATAGTAAGAATCATAATGCAGGCTGTTACGACTTAATGACATTCATAAACCTTGAAATAAGTCTATATTTTATGGAAGAACTGTTTATACTCCATAGCTGTATTTGTTTTAAAAAGCTGTCTTCACTTTCTTGTCCCGGAGTAATTTCCTGTCCCAATTCATGTTGGTTTTTAGGTTAAACCCAAGTCGTATCTTTTGCTGTAGTGTAAGAAGATAAATTAAGGAACTGTAACTACCTTGATTTCTAACTGTATGTGAAATTAACAGCTGTAATTTTCTGTCTAATATGAAGAAAAGAGAAGGTAGCTACTTGCTGGCTCTATGGCTAAAGGATTTTTTTCCTCCCATGCAGATGGTTTGTGATGGGCCCACCTCGTTCTGGAACAGGAATTCACATCGATCCCTTGGGAACTAGTGCGTGGAATGCCTTAGTCCAGGGACATAAGCGTTGGTGCCTGTTCCCTACCAGCACTCCCAGAGAGCTGATCAAAGTGACACGAGAAGAGGGAGGGAACCAGCAGGATGAGGCTATCACTTGGTTCAATGTCATCTATCCTAGGACGCAGCTCCCCACCTGGCCCGCTGAATTCAAACCCCTGGAAATCTTACAGAAACCAGGCGAGACAGTCTTTGTGCCAGGTATGTACGAATCTCTCCAGTAAGGAATTCTGGGAGAGAAAAGCATATTTTTAACGTTCGTGTGTAGTACTGACAAAGAGACTATTTCAGCTTTCTTATATGGACCATCTCTTACAAAAGAAACTATTCTGAGCTGTTTCAAAAGGGATATATATTGCAAGGCGCTCTTTGAGACTGTTCAGTTATTTTCTGAATGTCCTGAAACATATGTGACCTGTAGCATTGGATTGCGTGTGGTACAGATGACAAAACAAATGGGACCTCAGTTGCAGCATCACAGGAGTGTGATCCTGAACTAAATTGCAGTAATAGGAAACCATCAAGGCGTAAAATAATAGAGGTGTTTGAGTACTAGTAACTTCTTAGACAAAAATGTTTGAGTTTATATACAGCGTAGCAAATTCATGACTGAATTTTGCAGCCTGGGTCGTCTGACTGCATATGAATTTTAATTAGCTGTGGGAAAAGAACTACTTAAAGGCACTGACACTTTCCACCCACCTCTCCATGGTTATGCTTCAACTTGCATTTGAAATCAAAAGCTAAAGAAAGATCTGATAAGGATGCCATTCTCTTTGAGTGGCTGCACATTGTGTGCCTGTTATAACTGGGAGATGAGGTGGCTAGTGGATAAAGTGGGTGAGTTCAGTGACAAATTCTAACATCTAAATTTTGCGTGATTTTTGTGCAGCGTGGCCCATAGCTTCTATCCGCATTGCTTGTCTCTAACATACAGCTGACTTCATGTTTGACGAGTGCCTTGTGATTGTCTTGGCACTTATTAGTGACTCCTCAGTGTACCTTCTGTTAAGATTTTGTAGCTGTCGGGTTCCATTAAACTGTTTCCTTAGTCTTTTTATGAGGTTATAAGTGGGTTGTAAGAACACCACTGTCTATTTTTATCCTGTGTGGGGAAACAATTTTGCATCTATTTTTAAATGAAAGGTTAGTCTGTAGTCATAAGAACCTTACTAAATCAGCATGGAAAGTGCTCTCCAGCTTAACAGAGAGGGTCTCTGTGTGGTCTGGGCTACAATGGCTCTTGCTATTAAATCAGCCGGTGGTAGCCAGCGCATTGCTGCAAGTCAGATCTTCAGTACTGTTCGTGAGCTGGATAACTTGGTCAGAGCGTTGAGCAGCCTTCTGGGACAAGAATCTGTAAATCTGAAATAAGACTGAGGAAAGATGACATGGTGGCAAACTCACCTGGGTTTGGGAGATAAGGTCCAGTTTCCACTTATACTATGGAAGAAGTGTTCACGGCTGTTCTTGAAGTTGCTTTCTGCTACGTAGCCAGAAATGGTCATTGGTGTTGTATTTATAGGTGGCTGGTGGCATGTAGTTCTCAATCTTGACACAACTATTGCCATCACGCAAAACTTTGCCAGCTGTACCAACTTCCCTGTGGTGTGGCACAAGACAGTGAGAGGGAGACCCAAATTGTCACGGAAATGGTACAGGTAAGAAGTTTAGTAGCTTGCTTTTCATATTCTCTATTTAAAACAGAACCCAAAATACCCTGATCATTTACATGCAGTGTTACTGTTCAAAGGCTAACCCTGAAATTTCAACTATATTTAGGATCCTAAAGCAGGAACATCCTGACTTGGCAGCCTTGGCTGATTCAGTTGACCTGCAGGAATCTACTGGTATAGCGTCCGATAGTTCTAGCGATTCTTCCAGTTCCTCAAGCTCCAGCTCCTCAGACTCTGATTCAGAGGTAATGCTTTTTACTACAGTAGGTGATCCATATCTTGCAATTATATTGGTTTTTTCCATACCTGATCATGTGTCCTCATCCTAATATTCGAAAGCAACTAAAGAAATCTACATGGTGGGGGAGCCTGTGGTTTTAGCCGTTTCTGTTTGTTGCAGCCTCTCTTTGTATTGCTAAATGAATTTGGTTTGTTTGATCTATGTTTAGATTATATATAAATCTGTCACTCATTTAGCTAAGCCATGCTTGTGTAAGATGGCTGCAAAATGAATGTTTTAAAAATGGGGAGGGGGAACAAGATCCAAAATGGAGACTGTCAGTTATGACAGGGCACTTTTCTAGGCACCTAAGTGCTTCAGAAGGCACTGAGTCTGCTCTCGGAAAATTAGGTCCTTCTAGGAGCCAAAATGAATGCATCAATTGTCTTGCCCCAAGCCAGGTTAGTCAGTGATGAAATCTAAGACCATACCTGTTCCTGGTTTTTAAAGCTTAATTTAAAATTTATTTCACGTGTCTAATCTAAAATAGCATGTTTTTTTAATACTGATTCAGGGTTGCTGAGGTAGCTCTTACGGTGAATTCCACAGTACAGTTTACTAGGCTTCTCTGAATTCTGGTTTCCTCTCTTCATACTTCAGTGTGACTCTGGCTCTGAGACAGAGGGGATGATGCACCGGAGGAAAAAGAGGAGAACATGCAGCATGATGGGTAACGGTGATACAACTTCCCAGGACGACTGTGTGAGCAAAGAGCGCAGCTCCTCCAGGTGACCCGATGGCAACTGTTGTTTTTAAACAAGCAAAAGGCAATACAAGGCAGAGCTGGCAGAGTTAAAATAGGGTGATTCTTCAGGACAGAGGGATGGAGAGCGAGGGGTCCCTTACAAGAATGTGAAGCTGTTGGCCAGTGGTGATATCTTCCCTCCATAAATTATTTTAATTGCTCCAAACTGAAAACTAAGATTCTTCATATTTTTTTAAAAAATAAGAGGTTTTTTATTTTATTTAATAAACAGTTTTATTATTTTTCCTAGTTGTCTTTTGAGAAAGTTGGTTTGGTTTGGGTTTTTTTATGGGAGAGGTGGGATATTTTAACTGTGCTCTTCAGAGAGTGCAAATGAATAGTAAATGGTTAAAGATGAGGAATGATCAGGCAAGACTCGGGTTTTGATGACTGTTGTCCAAACAGAAAGCCTTCAAGTAGTTGTACAGTTTCTCTTATTTTTGCCTGGATTACTTCCATTTGGCCCACTGTTTTATCGGTTAAAGGCAAAATTCATCCCAAATTCTGAATGTCTGTGTTTACCTATTCAAAAAAAAAAAAAAAAAAAGAACAAGTTTCTAGTCAGTGTGGAGGGAGGGAACATTAATATTGCAGAAGCACGAATTGATATTACTTAGGGTAAAGTTGCCAAGGAAGGAAGTTCTCTGGACTTGCCAGGATGAAAACAGTGAAATACTGGGAATCTGGGAGTATACTGCAGGGAGGAACTTAGAAATTCTTTGGTAAATGAAGCATTTTTCTCTCGTAGCAGAGGCTTGCCAAAATTCTTAAGCAAACTCCTTGCAGTTTGGTTAACCGATGCTGCTGTATTAGCTGCCTGCCTGCATTAGGGTGCTGTCTAGTTGCTGAGCTGTTGGATACTCCAGGTTTGGCATGGATGCAAGTGCTGTGGTGACTTACTGTGTGGCCTGCTAAAGAAGGTGTGCAATAGTAATTTACCTGAGGAAGTCCAGATTCCCAGCATCGTGCCTGAACTCCCAGTGTAGGGTATTGCCTAAAGACCTGTTTGCTCCTGTACATGTTGGCAGTTATCTTGCTGTGATATATTGCTCTCTTGTTTTCAGGAGTTGCTCATAACGATACAATTGAATTACAAGTACAGAGCATCATTAAACAGTTGGGAGAGAACTGTACTGACTGCTTATTTTGCCCTGGAGGTTTTAACAATTTGTTATGACATTGTCAAATCCCATGTTAGCAGTCGGTGTGGCTTCAGGCAGGGAATGAGCAGCAGGAGATAACGAATCTTAATGCAGACCCTGTTTTTTTAAAAAAAAAGCAAAAAAGCTGTAAAAATGCAGAGCACACATGCAGATCTGTTCTTCTGAAAATCCCGTGCATTTTTACGTTGTTTGCACTTCAAATTTTGAAATGAATACCTTAAATATTAAAAATTAGCGCATTGCCTAGAAGACTTGCTTCCCAGGTTTCACTGTTCTTCCTCCGGTATGTTGACTGTTTCTCTCTGTGAGGGTGGGTGGGCTTTCTGCTCCAGCTGTGTGATGGATTAGTTGATAAAACAGTTCCAAATATAAAATATTATCTAGCTTGCACAATTCTGTAGGAAGAATAAGCATACAATTAACCTGCATGCTGTGATCTTTTGCCCTGATAAGAGAGGAAATGCTATAGTTGTTGACAGGCAGCTGTACTTTTTTTTTTGGCAGGATTAGGGAATCTTGTGGAGGCCGCAGCTACCCCTGAGAGATAACGACACCCACCTAGAGGCAGCTGCCGATCGAAGCTCCGTTAGCAGCCAGCCAGCTCTGTTCTACCCCCTTCTGCTTCTATTTCTCACAGTCCTTAAGTTTTTGTCATTCTTCCTTGATCCAGACATCCATCTTCATTATGTGCTGTCGAAGGTTGGCTCCTTAATAACTCCTAGGGGAATGCCCCGACTCTACATTATTGTGCAATGCTTTGTCCCCTCTGCGCCCCAAGTGAGTGCACTAATAACCCAGTGTTGGGTAAGGACATGCCAAGTATTTAATGGTTCACGTAACTGGCAAGGAAGACGACGGTCAGTTTTTAAAGAACTCTTTTTAAAATGAGCAGGTAAATGTAAAAACCTGCCTTGCTTTGACACTGTCATATGTTTACATGTTGTCCTGTACACTTGAGGAAAGGAACACCAGCCCTTTTGGCCTATCTGAACGTCCGGCGGATCTTGCACCAGAATTTCAGGAGGGGAAGGTGGTATGATTGCTCCAAACACTGAAGCAACTTCAGCGGAGGTGACCACCAACCTGAAGTGTCTTTCATGGTCTTAATCTACATGCATACATCTAAGGTGCAGCACCTTAACCAGCAACAGTCCATTTACTTTTGCTCTGTGTCCGTTACGATGACTGGTAACAAAGATGCACTAGCACCTTGCGATTGGAAGCTCGATGGAGCAGAAGAATCCTAGAGTTTCTTGCACAGCAAAAAACATGGGGAAAAAGTCAGCATTTGCCAGTAATTACAATCCTTTAGGTGCAGGCATGATGTCTAGCACTAGGCAACGACTGACCAAGTCTGACTCTGATATTCTAACAACAGTTGCTGGGCTTTAAATACCAAGCAGTGATAGGGCCATGGGCTCGTTCAGGCCAGTGCAGCTCACATACCTAAATGGCTTTTCTTTGAGGTTATGGGTTCAGACGTTTCCAGAACTTGCAGTGCCAATTTTAAAGGACTGGGAGGGGGACATATTGTTGTTTTATGCTTTTTAAAAATGCAATGTGTTGCTTAAGTCTGTGTAGATGCATTTGTATTATGGCGGGTAAAGCTCTCATCCCCAAGGGATCTGTTGGAGCTGCTGGTTTTTTTAGCAGGGGCTTGTGCTGGTGATGTCAGCGAAGAGGTCTGTCTGGCTGAAGGTGTGCTGCAAGGAAATGATCCTCCTTCTCTATCTGAACAGCACAGCCAGAAGCTAGCTGGGTCGGGGTGCTTCCTTGGGTACTCTCCTGAGACCTAGGACATGGGTATTAGACCTCACTTCAGCCATTCTTGTTTGGGAGAGGAAACTCAAAAGCAGAAGTGGTGTGCGTGTAGTAAACATGCAATAATGCCCAGGCACTGGTAGCAGAATTGAAAAGCGGATTGGCAGCCTTAACTGTGACTTTCTTATACATGTTGGGTTTGATGGAACGCAGAACATTGCTTGTCTGGGTTTTCTGATCTTCTTTTTTTAAATTGTCTCCTCTTCTTTAAACACTCTCTCTCTTCTTGGAGACCAGGCAATATCCTATTGTACAAGGGAATCCTAAATACCTTTGTCAGGATCTCTGTTTCTGAATCTTCTGTGCCAGTCACTTTGTGCAGGAGCAGCATGGTGGTGGAAAAATGGAGAGGGAACGTTTTTTGGTACATTCTTTAGCTGTCCAGACTCCTGAATTTCCTGTGATAGCCAGGCGTAAGTGAGCACGCTTGCTGTGTAGAGTGCTGCAGATTCTTCCACAAGATTACTTAATTTAAAAACAAACAAACAAAAAAAAACCCCAACTTTGAGAAGTACTTTGAGAAGTTCTTTGAGAACTCCTGGCATTTCTCGCCAAGGTTGCCTTTTTTCCTGCCTGATTGAACAGCCTGTATGTCTTCTCAGACAGAGCAGGCTGCAGCTGCTGCCTTCTGGAAGAACGTGAGGACCTGGAGGGGCGAAGGTTCAGAAGTCTCAGCTCTGTCACTGTGAGAGGAGCCCTTAGAGAACTGTCCGCTGCCCTCTTTGGTGGTTTGACAGTATGTCAGTAAGGTGGCTTATGCTGTAGCTTGCAATTGCATTTAGCATGTACGGTTCAATTTTACGGTCTTAAGATCTTACATGTGCGTGAAAGCCTGATCGCTGTGCCAGGAAAGCTACACCTCTGCCACCAGAAGCACAGTGGGAAGATCCAGCGTGCAGAGTATTCTTCCATGCCTGTGAACTCTTCCATGGTGTGAAATAAAACAATTTCAGATTGAAGCCTGTGTTAGTCTCACATCCCTCGCAGAAAAGCGGTGTGTTTGGAATGGACTGCAGGCATCTTGACACCAGCAGTGCTGTACTGACTTCTCCAGAAGGCACTTTGTGATACAAAACGAAGGTGTATCTGTTCAGGCTACCTGGGAATTGGGACTCCTGGGATCTCTGGTTCTTCTGCTTACAGGCTCTTTGCTCAGCCGAATTGGTGAGCTTCTGTCTTTGCTTCAGTAGATGAGGAAAATACCTACCTCACAGGGATGTTGTGAGGCTGAAACATAATTACTGTGTAAGATGCTTTGAAGTTGTCCTCCTACAAAAAGTGTTCCGGACATTTTAAGCAACCTGAGACTTCCTAACGTGGTGTTAGCTTTTTGTAGCAGAAAATGTTGGGGATGTTGTTCAGCTCTCTTGGCCACGTGGTATTCTGTGGCAGCCTTTCCAGAATTGCTGTGTGGTACATAAATTGTAGCAGAACAAGGCTTTTTGTTTTCACCAGAGTTTAACTGTTGGCATTTCATGGCCTGCTCTAAACAGGAGGTCCTGCTAGATCAGGATTTTTTTTTTTTAAATAGGAATAGAATAATTTCTCTCTCATCAGGGAGTCAGCTTCACTGGCCTTACAGGAAGTGGGGGAAGCTGGTGCTTCCCAAGCCCTCGTTCCAGGCCAGGTGAATGAGGAATAAAACTAAACTGTGCTCCCCTTGTGCCTAGCTCCGTGCTTGTGGGAGGCTGACTGGGGAGAGTGGGTTTTGTGCTCTCACTTCTCCAGGCTTGTGCTTCTTGGGGCATCCAAGTCTCTTGTTCCGACCCCTCTGCTTTTGTGTACTGTGAGCCCCTGGATGCAGCAGGCTGCTGTGGTCCAGCACCCAGACCTGCTGGGCCCCTCGTTTCCTTGAGCCCCAAAGCAGCAGCGCTGCTCTGCCTCAGTCCCCGCCGGCGCTTTGCCAGCCCGGCCGTGCTTTGTGGGCTGCCTTGCTCCCCAGGGACAGGCTTAGAGAGCCGTGTGCTGGGTTTGGACCATGGGCTTCCCGACTGTACTGTGCGTATTGGTGTCATTGTCCTGCCTGCTCTGGCGAAAGCTAAAGGGATTGGTGAGCTCTGGCTGTGCTTTTGAGTCTGGTAACCAATACAGGCTTGTCTGCTATGACAGTTCAGGAGTAAATGAATAAATACCCCGTCAGAACTGTAGATGTGAACAGGCGTGCTGATCTCGGCACCTGTTCTCTGCACAAGTGCTGTGGGAGCAGGTGATGCTGAGGAAGCACTGGCATACATACCTTCCTGCCCTTTCCAGCTCGGGTACGCTGGCTCCAGTTTGTCTTCTCAGTTACATTAAGCCTCTCCAAATGCTTAGAAGAAAGACAGCAACCTCTTTCATAATTAACCTAGACCCTTTTCCTCCCTGAATCCCCAGCCATCGTGGGGCAGGAAGCAAGACTGTTGACTGAATCAAATCTGAAATGCCTGTGTGGGCTAATTGTCATGGGAGGTTTTTGGCATCCCCCTTGCAAAGGGGGGAAGGAAAGAGAGTACCGATTCGTTTGACAGTCACACTGTCAGCTCCAAGCCCTGCCACTGCCATTAGCTGCTTTTATCACCCCATCCAGCAGAGCTGGGATACTCTTAATTGTCTTGTTTGGATGATTGTGGTTTTGCTTTTTATTTTAAATAAAGTCAATTATTTTGCATTATCCTGTCGGCTAGTCACTTTTCTTCATATCATGATCTGAAAAAACCCTACAGGTGTACACCTCTGTTTCCCGAAGTACTGCAGTATGCTAAATGGTGTTGAGGTAATAGCTGTGGGGCTGCTTTGGGGACTTTCTCTAGCTCTCCCTCACGTGTGATGAGTACGGCTGTATGGTGGGGTGTGTTTTGGAAGCTGCTGGGGCTGTGGTGGCTTTGGGAGAAGGTTTGTGTCAGTAGCTTTGTTACCAGACTGCAACACGTGCTTTTTGCCCCTCCCCTGTCCTCCCCGGAATGTATTACAAGAAGCCTTGTGCTGCATCTCTCTTGCCACCTCATGCTGCCTCTTGCCAGGGAGGGGCTTTCACCTTCCAGGTGCCGCATGCTGCTTTCAGCTTAGCTTCTAGATAAGACACACAGTGCAGAGAGTCACTGCGGAAGGGCTGGACTCCAAGCAGAGAGCTGACCGACCTTCCCCCCCATTCCTGGGGGTTCATGGAGAGAGCCACCTCCTGTGTGTCTGAAGCTGCCTCTTAATGAATTTGGCTGTGTAGTGGAACAAGGATTGGGGAAGTGGAAAAACTTGTATATTTTGTTAGTGAGCTTTGTTGAAACCAGGAACCATAGGTAAATAAGCTGAAGCAGAGTGTGGGACAGCAGCCTGGAGGCTTTTGAAATATTTATATGAATGTACTGTAGAATGAAACACCTTGAAGAGTAAATGGTTTTGTGGAGACAGCGAGTTTGCCAATTTCTGCATAAGCCTGTGTCTTTCCTTTCCCAAACACTGATGTAAACACTCTTCTTGATTACTGTCACCTATAAAACCAATTTTTTTTTCTCCTTTCCAATTGCTCTTCAGAAGATCTCTTCCCCGTACCCTGTTCATACCCTCTGCTAGATGCTGTCTAGCTCGATGCAACCAGGCAGTCACAATTAGCAAATGAGCCCTCCTCTCCATGTGGGTGCTCTGGGCACATCGGTGCTTGGCATTTAACAAGAACCAATTCCAGAAAATGGCATGAATTGCGGTGGCTGAAAGCAATGTAGAGACATTGTAGAAATGCTTTTATAACATATCTCCTGCTTTTCATTCCCAAGAGAGGCGATTTTGCATGCTCCCAGCTTTAAGAGAATTCCATTGTTCTTCCTGTTTGCAGGTACTGCTGCTACCTCCTTCAGTGCCTCTGTGGTCTTGCAATCTGGCCTTGGTTTATTTTTATTCCCCTGATTTATCTACCTATCTTCCTTTTTGTGACAATTGCAACCTAACGCTTCATTTCAGCAAGGAGGACAGCATACTGATGTTCTTTAATTGCTACCGCAGAGCCAACAGGACAAGGTTACCTGAGTGGGAATGCAGAGGTTGGATCGTCTATGCTGTACTCGTGCTGATGTTCTTGGTCTTTTCCTCCAGTTTGATGTAAAAGCAAATAACTATTGCTATTGCTTTTG